CACACACACACACACACACCCCCCCACTGATACAGCTCCATTTGATGAAATAGATAAAAATCTGAAAGGCAAGCAGGTACACTCATTTTATTGGCTTGCAGGTTCTTGAGGGAGCACAAAACTTTTTATTTTTGGGAGGCTGAGGCAGAAGAATCGCTTAATCCCAAGAGTTTGAGGTTGCTGTGATGTTATGGCACTCCACCAGCAGTGACATAATGAAACTCTGTCTAAAAAAGTAAATAAAAACTCTCTAGTTTTTAGGGGGGGGTTGTTTTTGTTATTTGTTTTGAAACAGTCTCGCTTCATCTCTCTGGGTATCTCTCTCTGAAAACCATAAGTTCTCCATCTGAAAAGCTTAGAATTCCAGCCATCAGGTTAATAGTTATAAAAGACACATTCTTTTCCCAGGACAGAACAGTCAGAGCTTTGCTAATCTTCGTAGCTCACTGCAACCTCAAACTCCTGGGCTCAAGCAATCCTCCTGCCTCAGCCTCTAGTAGGAGGACTATAGGCGCCTGCCACAATACCTGGCCAATCTTTTCTAGTTTTGGTAGAGATGATGTCTCATTCTTGCTAGGCAGGTCTCCTGACAGCAAGTGATCCTCCCACCTGGCCTCCTAGAGTGCAGAGATTACAGGTATGAGCCACTACACCAGGCCTCTAGGTTTTTTTAATGAGAATTTTTTAAAAGATTACTGAAGTGATAATGTTCATTATAAAAATTTCAAAAATAGAAAAAGAACAAAATGAGTGAATAAACTAAAACTACCTTGTAATTTCTCCATCCAGAGATTTCTTTTTTTTCTCTTCTCTTTTCTTCTCATCCAGAGATTTTTAAAAAGTACTTAAGTTTGGTGTGTATATTTTTTGTCATTGTTGTACTTAATAACTTGAACAGCTTTCCATGTTATCAAATGGTATTACTTTATTTGCTTCTTGATATTCTATTACAGTTTTATTATAATATGTTAATTAATGCTTCATTGTTGAACACTAAAATTTTTGCCTTTTAAAATTATTATTGTAGGCTAAGTGCCCGTAGCTCAGTGGTTAGGGTGCCAGACACATGCTCCAGGGCTGGTGGGTTCAAACCCAGCTTAGTCCTGCTTAAAAAAATAAAATAGCCGGGCGTTGTGGCGGGCACCTGTAGTCCCAGCTACCTGGGAGGCTGAGGCAAGAGAATCGCTGTGAGCTGTGATGCCACAGCGGTGATATAGTGAAACTCTGTCTCTAAAGAAATAAAAAAAAAAAATGTTACTGTAAACCATTCTTGTTTTCTCAAGATAAATTCTTAAAAGTGAAAATTTTCTGGTAAGGGGGATACAGAATTTCAAAGCTTTTGCTATATATTGCCAGATTTTCTTCTACCAGCTAATGAGTGTCCATTTTTCT